ACCTTGATTAAAAAAATATAGTACAAGCTTGAGATCCAGTCTGCCTGGATTTGAATCTCCAGGGTCCCATTTACTAGCTGTCTGCTACCTCGGGCAAATTACCTCTCTGTGCCTCATTTCCCTCATCTGGTAAATGAGGTAGTAACAGTCCCTAGTTCATAAGGTTGTTGTCAGCAAGATCCAGGCGTTTGGAGTCCATCCCGGCCTTGAAGGGTCAGGAAAGGGATTATGAACTCATCCCCAAGACTTCCCACCTAAAATTTTGCAAACAGAATGGTCTGAGAGCCCCCTCCCCAGACAACCTGGAGTGGAAACCCACTCTTGGGCGGCCCCGAGGTGGAAGCCGGAGCGCATCTCCATTCAGACCCACAGCTTTAGGAAGCAAGCCGAAGCAGCCACGGAGGAGGTGTGAGCTGCAGCGCGCCGCCTAGTGGCGCCTTGGAGCACAGCTGTACCGGCCGCCTGGGGAAGCCGCCAACCAAAGTCACTAGCCACTCCTGCAGGGAACCCCGGACAGCTGCTCCTTATTATAAAATAGGTGGGGTGTATTTAGCCAGATTAGGGGCTTTCTGTAAATTCTTTTTAATCCCACGAGCTAGTTATTGTTCCCATTTTACACCTGATGGAACTGATGCTTGGAAAGGCTCCGCAGCCAACCCAAGTTCTCCCAGCTGGTAAGAACCCCGCGTCTGGTGTTCATCCATCGGCTCAGCTCCAGATTCCAGAACTGTCTCTGATGCTCTCTCCTGATTTGGGAAAATGAGGGTAAACCCAAGGAAGCACCACAGACCCCACTAAGGGTCAGAACTAGCTCTGAGACTGACTTCAAAGCAACTGCATTGCACAAAGTCTGCCCCACTTCCAACCTCAGGCCCCGTAGAACCCCCTGGGAAATGGAGGGGAGGTGGGAGGCTCTTGTCCAGGGCTCATCAGGCAAAGTTTTGGGCCCTTTAACCAGTAACCCTTCTTTCCTCAGCTTCACTGATGCATCCACTCAACCAATATTTATGTATGCTTATATACGTGCAGGAGAATCTGAGGTACCGGATATATCATGGTGAGCAAGAAAAGGGGGCCTGGCCTCCAAGCCTCTTTTATTTATTTATTTACTTACTTATTGGCCATGCCATGTGGGATCTTATTTCCCCAACCAGGGGTCCAACCCGGGCCCCATGCATTGAAAGCATAGAGTCTTAACCACTGGACCACCAGGAAAGTTCCTCAGCCTCTTTCCTAATTCACAGCGAGACCTCTTCACTGTGAGTCTGACGGCACTGGGTTTGGGAACACCCTGGTAGGTCTTAATCCAGCTATTCCAATGTGTCATCCCAGGGCCAGGACCTTGCCCATTCTTCACCCATTCTGGGAAAAGGTGTGAGCTCAGGGTAGTGTGACCCCCTCTGAAGTCCTTTTGCTGCCCCCCCCAAGTTGAGGGCTGGCACTTGAAGATGTCGGGGCTGGGGAGCAGCCACACCCCCAGTGGTTATTTAACTGCAGGTGTCTGGGGAAGGAACATCCTCCCAGACACTGGAATGGCAGGGAGGTGCAGAGGAGCTATGGAGGAATCCCAGTGTGGTAAGTCTCCTACCCCAATGCGGGAGTCCTGGAGGCAAAGAAGGGTCCAGGACCTCCAATGGGCATATTTCTAAGATCAGGGGAAATGGGATGGGGATCAACAGAATAAGAGGAATGGACTGTTCTCCTTTTGCTTGCCCAACCCCTGTCCCCAAGACCCCTTCTTTCCAGTTAGGAATTAAAGTCATGAAATCTGACACTAGGACTAGAAGGGCCTGCCTGGTGCAATTACTATCTAAACAGTAAAGTCCTGTGCACTGGAACTTTTTGGAAAAATGTCCAATATCATACTGGTCTTCTGGTTAAGAGAGAGAGCATGCCTGTCCTGTGGTCCCTGCCTGCCAAGGCTCTACTGAGGTCCCCGCTGAGTTATCTAGCAAAATGCACTTGACCTTGTATCTGTGCCAGGGGTTGACAGTACATGGACCTATATGTGTTGCCTGGTGGAAGTTAAGCATCTAAATATCTATTTGTCCTTAGTGTCATCTGCCTAAGAATGTATTTGTACTTTTGGATTTGCATGCCTGGGTGTGTGTCTGTGACAAGGTATATGTGTGTACTTTCTAAAATCCTATGTTTTAAGTATGTGGGCCTCTCTGCAGGTGGGTGCCTTTGTGATGTTTCTGGGTCATTTTGCACTTGTATATTTTCATTGTGTGTTTGCTTGTGTGTGTACCTTTGTAGGTGTGCCTGTAATTGTCTAGGGGTGTGTGTATGTGTGCTTGTACTGTGGTTAGGTGGGGCTGGCTGGGTGTGATGAGCTATTGACTCCCTCACCTACTGCCCTTGCCTAGGCCAAGCTAAAAATAACCTGTCTTTGCAAATGGGGGCCTTTCTTAGTTGGCCTAAGTTCTTCCCAGGGGGTTCTACTCCCCCATATCCACCCTCCTGATCCTGGGTGGCTGGCCAGGAAGGCTGGGGAGGTGAACTGATCTGCAGACCCCCTTCCCTACATGTTCCAGACCCGGCAGTCTGTATGGACAGGAGTCCTGGGCAGTCCTGCCCTTCTCTGTCCTCTGGGAAAACAGCTAAGGCAGGCCCTTGTTTTTTCTCTACCTGCCCCCACCCAAAAAAATCCCTTTCCAACCTGCAGTTCTGGCCGCCAAGTTCTTTCGCCGCCAATCTAGGAAGCGATCCTGGGAGCACTGACCATATATTCCAACCTACCCCTACTGGCCTGGCTGGACCTCCCTCTGCCTTCCTTTACCCCTTCTTGAAGCAGCCACTGCCTCTGTATTGGAGGAGTGATTCCAGATCCCAGCTCTGGAAAAACCCCAAGTAGTGAACAGACCAGGAATAGAGGAAGGGGCGTTCCTGCTGGCTGCCAGTCCTTTCTCACCCACCAGCCCCAGAAGAGGTAGGAGGGTGGAGGATCCCCAGCTCAGCATTTCTTTCCAGTCCTATCTCTCTTGCCCTTTGACTCATCAACTCATTCATTCAAAGCTGTGTGATCTTGGGCAAATGCCTTCATGTCTCTGTGCCTCCATTTCTTCATAGGTAAAATGAGATTACAAATGGTACTTGTAGGATCCCCAGACTTGTGAGGATTAACTGAAGTGATGCATATAAAGAGCTTAACCTGGGGCCTGGCACATAGAAGGACCTTGCCAACATTAGCTGATCCACCCCTTCTAACGTCACTGGGTTTCAATCTCAAGATACTGCCTAACCCCCAAACTCCACCTGGCTCCTCATGCCCTTTGGCTCACTCTTGGGTGGTCAGGATTTTCCATCAGGAGTCAGATTGACTGAGAGGAGAGATCTCGGAAAGAAAGATTGAGAGATTATTGACATTTGTACAGCAGTTTCCATACTTTGGCCGGGGAGGCACGCTGCACTGCATGTAGGATCTTAGTTCCCCAGACCAGGGACTGAACCCATGTACCCTACAGTGGAAGCACAGAATCCTAACCACTGAACTACCAGGAAATTCCCCCCATACATATTTTAAAAATTCAATTCTGCCATGCCCTGCCATGTCATTTCAGCGTGTCTGACTCTTTGTGACCCTATGGACTGTAGCCCACCAGGCTCCTCTGTCCATGGGATTCTCCAGGCAAGAACACTGGAGTGGGTTGTCATGCCCTCCTCCAGGAGATCTTCCTGACCCAGGGATCAAACCCGTGTCTCTTTCGTCTCCTGCATTGGCAAGCGGGTTCTTTACCATTAGTGCTACCTGGGAAGCCCTACAGTTCTACACCCTCTTATAAAATTGCTATCATTTTTCTCCATTTTGGAGATGGTGAAGCATCAGAATGGTTAAGTAACTTGTTCAAGGTCACACAGCAGGCAAGGGGCAGAGCCCAAATTTACACCAAGCCAAAAATGGCTCCCCCGGTGCCCCACTGTCAGTTGGGATGGGGGTAACATCCTAGGCCCTGGGTGCTACAGGAGGTTCAGCCGGGTCTGGTCAAACAGTTCTGCCCAGGGTCATGCCAACAAGTAGGGCTAACCAGGATGATCCAGATCCACAATCAAGTTCACAGAGCTGTAAGTTCCAACTTAACCCGGGACTTGAGGGTTTGAGATTTTTCTCATTTAAGAAGGGTTTTCTGGGAAAGAACCCCCACCGCCACCCCCTTCCCATGTAGAAGACATAGATTTTACAGATGGTATAGACCAGGGAACCAAAAACGACAGAGTCCTGAGTTTAATCAGAGGAGAAAGCTGACACAGCCAAGCCAAATGGGAGCGCAAAAATACATTTCCTTAGTCTCTGGGAAGGAAAACTGGACAGACTCCGCTTCCAGTTTCGATCCAGAGGCCGAGTTTTCCAATGCTCCGGGCCCAGCGTATCTCGAGGACCTCCCTGAAGGGCCCCCAGCTTCGCTGAGGCCGCGCCCGAGAGGCCGTCGGTCACCCCCTCGAAAGGCCCCCCCCGGCTCCGCCCCTGCCCACCCAAGGCCCCGCCCCGCCCCGCCCCGGCTGTGCCTGCTCCTCCTCAGCTCAAAGACTCACTAGGGTGAGCGGGCGGCAGCGCTCGGCGTTGTGGCAGGAGGCTGAGGCCGGCGAAGACGCCGGAGCCACGGGTAGGAACTGGGCGCAGGAACGCGCGTACTGGGGTTCGGACCGCGCGGCATCAGCCGCTGCGAGCGCCGCTGAGCTGTCTAACCTTCAGCCGCGCAACTTTGTAGCCAGGACGTGAGAACCCCGGGAGCGCTCGAGTCCCGGAGCCGGAGGAGCGCAGAGAGGGGCGCGCCGGAGCCTGACCGGAGAGCGGACGCCAGGCACCCGTCGCGCTCCGAGCGCCCGGCAGCCCTCTGCGAAGCGTGGCTGCCTCTGCCCCAACGGAGGGCACGAGCTGGCGCGACCGGGCGCCGGGGAGGACGGCGAGGAGGAGGCGGCGGCGGCGGAGACGGCGGCGGCGAGGCTGGGGCCAGGGAGAGAGCCCCGGGGGAGAGGCGCCCGAGCCGGGCCGAGGGAGCATGTGGGCCCGGAGCGGAGCGCGGGGCGCGCTGCTGCTGGCGCTGCTGCTCTGCTGGGACCTGAGGCTAAGTCAAGCAGGTAGGGAGCGGTCGGGCATGGGGGAGTGGGGCAAGGGAACCCTGGCTCCTCACTCTGCCCCAAAGTTGAGGTGGTCCATCGCTCCGTTAGTGCGCGTAGGGAAAGAGGCAAGGGCGCCCAAGTTCGGAGGTAGATTTCTCTGCTCCATCAAAGTGGGCGATGATGCAGCCATCTCGCGCGGGGTGCGCAGGTCCTCCAGCTCCTGCTTGGAAAGGAGGGGTCGCTTCTTTTGCCTGGAATGGTATCCGAGTCGGGGTCTGCGTCTCCAGGAAGACCGGCCTCCAGGGGACCCCTGGTTCTGCGCGTGCTTGGCAGCGGCTCGTAAAAACACACACACACACAGTCGCTGCACAGGCCAGGTGTGCGCTCGTTCCCGGTTCGCTGGCAACTTCCTAGTCCAGGTCCCGGCTCGCCCAAGCTCCTACCGCGGCACCGACCGGAATCTTCAGACTAGAAGGAGGGAGCGAGAAACCTGGGGAGCACGGGAAGCGCTGGTCCGCTCCACCAGCCGGATGAGGCCAGCTTGCAGGGATTTGGTTACCGATGAGAATAGGGCTGTCTTGCACGTATAGTTTTCCCCGAGATCTTGGGATTCGCGGGTCTAGAAGATTTTTTTTTTTTTTTTTTTTTTGTCTGTGTGTTGGTGGTTGAGGGGAGGAGTACGTAGCGATCTGCCTAGTTTCTTTTTAAATGAATCACTGACATTCTCCCCGCCTGGGGAGTCCACTGGGTGCGCTCGCCAGGCTCCTACTCAGGACCCACCAAGGTGCCTTAAGGGAGTCGGTGGGCTACTAAAAATTAAAGCTCTTATTCTGCCTCTTCCGCCGTGGATGTGTACACGTCTCGCTGGTCTGTAACTGGGTCCGGCGTGGCTGACTGGGCTGAGTCTTCCTGGGCAGCAGGGTGGACGCACGGGAGCCATGCGTCTCTCGTTCTCTCTCCGGAACCGAAGCACCGGGCTTTCGAGGTAGGGTGGGGAAGGGCCGCATCCTGCAGAGTCCTCTGAGTTGAGGCTGAGAATGGGGCAGGAAAATTGGTGCAGAAAGTGGACAGATGACGCAGCCACCACCACCCCCCCCCCCCATCTTCCACTGAGGTGTTGACGTCCGCCGCCCTCCTGCCTCCCTCCGACCTTCCCACCCCCGCCCCCCCACCCACCCCCCCCCCACCCCCCCTCAACTTGTAGTCTGAGATTCTTCACTCTGGAATTAATGATTCCCACGGCCCAGGCCCAAGTGAGGACTTGGTTTTAAGCACATCCCCCCGCCCCCTTTTTTTCCCTAGCCCTATGTTGTAAAGTTACGACACAATCATTTGATCCACGTTAATTATGATTTGGGCAGACTCTGGTATTTAAAGCAGTGTTTTGAAGTTGGAAGGTAATGATGGGGGAGGGGGCAGGCTGCTGAATGACCAACTTTGTTTTAAAGAGTGCAGTTGGATGTGGGAGGTTCTGGGCTGGGCTGTTGGTTTCTGGTTTTGGGGTGTTTGAGGGGACGTGATTGAAGGGTTGGGTGAAGTCTCTGTAAATGGCACACAGGCAGGATTGGGTCTTGGGAAGCTGTCTTTGACCAGCAGGGCAAGGATATAAGGAATAAATACCGAGATTACTGAGGGTGGGGGGTTGGGTAGGCAGGAGAAAGACAAGACTGATTGGCCTGGAGTTCTCCAGAGCCGCAGAGTAGGCTCCGTTGGGAGGCTGGGGGTGGTCCGCCTTGCCTGCTTAACAAAGCATCCGGCCTCCACCTTCCCCAAAAGAAACCCCAGGCCCAGGGCTTTGATGGATTTGGGCATGATCGGTGCCCAGCCAGAAATGGCCTCTAATACTGGGCTTTGATTTCTCACTAGCAGAGTAGAACTGGCGTTGGAATTGTGCTCATTACTTAGCGCAGCAGGGGTTGCCTGCCCACCAGCCTGGAGAGGGGCCAGCCGGTGGGATCAGCCTGCTGCCTTCCCTTGCCCTTAGAAGCCTGCCTTTAAGACAGAGAACATGCCCCTTCCTCCTACACAGCCCTTCTACTCTAATGTACAGAGTAACTTCCAGAATATTCATTAGGTCTTCCCAGCGATCCCCCATGAGCTCCATTGCACAGATGGGGGAAAAAAAGGCCAAGATGTTGCCTTTCCTCAGATCTTACCTTCACTTGACCACAGATTGCAGATTTAAATCCAAGGCTCCTGTTCAATAGCCAGACTGATTCAGTTCACTTTGAATTCCTGCTTATGGTCTCATCCACGGTCTTTCTTGGGAGTCTCCAAGTTCTCCTGAATGGGCAGGCACTCTCTGTCCTTCCCCCCACCCCCATTCCCAGTGGATTTGGAAATGAGTTTCCTTTACAGTACTGAGAATTTTTTTTAAGCTATACAATTTGATGTTGGAGAAATCAAACCCAGAACCATAAAACCCCAGACTCTTAGAACACTATGGTTGTGATAAAAAAAATAAATAAATAAATAAATTTAAAAAAAAAGAACCACAAAAAAAAAAAAAAAAGAAGGAGATGTCAGCAGGTGACTGGCCAGAGAGGACACTTTAAAAGCTGAGGTTAGCCCTGGGCATCTCCTCCCACCTATCCCTCAGCCTTTCCTAGAGCTATTAATGAGCCTCTGGCTCATTGGCCTCAGGCTGGGATGGTTGAGAAGGAACCAAGGTGTCATGGTAATACTTCTTTTTAAGGTGCAGTTAAAATCAGAGTTTTCCTAGTGTTTTTGCTCTGTGTGTGTGTGTGTATATGTTGGTGGTGGCCTGTCCTTGTCTTCTGTACACTATACTAAATGCCAAGTTCACTTAAACAAATGGAAAATCAAGAATGTCTTAATTCTTTTTCTCATTAAAGTGAGAGTACCACTGCAGGGGAGGAATTCTGTATGTAATTTCTCTCCCCACCCCACAAACTGGGAATTCCATAGGACAAATTAATTCCCCTCTCTTCCAATCCACTTATTTAACTGCTGAAGCTTTGGGACAGGCCCTGACCTGCCCAGGACTACACTTGGACTCATGGAGAGATCTGAGATTTGCACTCAGGCCTCGTAAACCTCATTCTTGTCAGGGCTCCTTTATTCCACTTGGGCTGCAGACTGTCCGCATGGGTCTGGGATTGAGATTTTGAAATCAAGGCCTGGCTAAGCCAGGCAGCTAAAGATGGAGTCAGGTTGGTAACCGAGTTGGACTGGGATTTGCAGGGGCAAGACTTGCAGGGAGCGTGGACCTGGGAGAGGTGGAACAGGGCTGGGCCAAAGGTCAAGGTGAGACCCTGAGACCAGGCAAGTGCCCAAAAATAGCTTCCTCCCTGGCCTTCCAACACGGATCCTCTCAGTAAAAGCCCCCACCTGCCTGTGGTGAGATAAATCACAATCCAGGCTCCCTTGGTCTGCAGGACTATATATTAGCATTTTTTTTTCATATTAGCATTTTAAAGCTCTATACTGATTTGTGTGGAGGCTTCCCTGATGGCTCAATGGTAAAGAATCTGTCTGCAATTCAGGAGCAGAGGGTTCAATCCCTGGGTGGGAAAGATCCTGTGGAGAAGGAAATGGCAACTCACTCCAATATCCTTGCCTGGAAAATCCCATGGACAGAGGAGCCTGGCAGGCTACAGTTCATGAGGTCACAAGGTGTTGGACACTCATTTGTATAGCTGGAGGCGAAATAGGTTTTTACATTTTTATTTTGAAGCTTTAGGGTCATCTCCTGCACCCATTTTGTTGTTGAATTTTTCCTGGACTGAGGTACTGTGACCTGTTCCTGGCTGTCAGAGCAGGGTGTCAGGTCTCCCTACCACTTCCTTACCAGCAGCATCTTCTAAGGAGGGTTTGGATTTTGGCAATGAGGCTGAAGGGGAGGTGGGTCTCTTACATTCCAAGTGCTTGGTTGGTATTTCTGAATGGCCCATCCTGGAGCCTCCTCCTGGGCCTGCTGGCCAAACATATGGTCATTTGAACCTTATGGCTGGGTTTAGGGTAGCAAGGAAGTATCTTGGAGCCCCCTGAGGCCTGGAGGAAAGGGTTAAGAAGCAGCGGTCATAGGTTGGGATTTAGGGGTTGCCTGTGGGGTTGGTTGTAGGGAGAAGCTACTCTCAAGGCAGGGAGAGAAGGATTCAGACACTAAGGCCAAGGGCTGGCGCTCAGAAGCGCCTCTTCTTCCTCCTCCTTCCCAGTTTCCTAAACAGCTTCCACAAATGGAATCATTAAAGCTGTGAAGGCAAAATGAAACCAAACAAGTGTGTTCTGTGCTTTTCTGTTACTTTCCTTTTTCTAAAGGAAAACTTAAAATACCATAATTAGAATAATATGAGGAAGGGCAGTTTCAGGAGGGTGGAGGGAACGTGTGTCCTCCTTTTGATTCGCTCCTGAAGTTGGGGATGGGGCGCCACCTCCTGCCCCACCATGGGCCTTGTGCTCAGCCAGGTGCCGCTGGAGCTTGGGGAGTTTGTCCCCAACCCGACCGGGTGACCGAGGGCCAGGTGAGCCCCTCCTCTGGATTTTTTGAGAGAAGCCTGGCATCTCGTTGGGAGTTGGGCGGGCAGCTGGATTGCGCTGGATTCGAACTCCGGCGGCCAGCACCAACCGCTCCAGTCCCTGCGCCCCCTCAGAGCAGGCGGGTCCTCGCCGCGCCCCTGTCTCTCCGACCCTCCACTTCGGCGAGGCTAATGACAACAAAAACATTTGCTGAAGCGAAGGCATAAATCAGCCGCCTCCCCGCTCCCCCGACCCTCCCCGCTTTGTTCTCTCTCCCTTCTCTTGCGAAGCCCTGGGTTGCTGGAGGCTCCCGAATTTACCCTTGCGGACAAAGCGGCCTGGTGAGCATCTCCGAGGCTACCTCTGGCGGGGCTGATTCAGCTTGCGGGTACCTGGGGGACGCACGTATCTTGGCACCGACACCAACCACTCCTCCTTCCCTTCCTCTCCCGCCCCCCTGATCCTCCTCGGCCCCCTCACCAACCGCCTCTCCCCTTTCCCCTGCCGAGGAGCCCGGGCAGCTCTTGGCCACAGTCAAG